AAAAAAAAAAAAAAAAAAAATTAAAAAAAATATGCAAAGTCTCCATTGTTTTCCATGGCTGAATAGTATTCCATGATATACATATACCATAGTTTATTAATCCATTCACAAGTTGATGGGCACTTCGGTTGTTTCCACATCTTTGCAATTGTGAATTGAGCTGCTATAAACATTTGGGTGCCAATGTCCTAATGTTAAAATGTTTTTTTCTTCTGGTAGATACCTAGTAATGGGAGTACAGGATCAAATGGGAGGTCTAAGGCATAATGGTTTAAAAAAAATAATAAGCTAGGCTCTACAATATGGGATTTGAACAACTTACCCTATGTGTTTGTTTCCTCATCCGTAAAATGTAAATAATAATAGTATCTATATCACATCTGGCATATACCAAGCAGTCAACAGAATAGTAGGAACTGTTATTATATGAAATTGGAATGATAAAAATGTTATTTTCAAAAATGGTCTTCCTACTCCTAAGAAAGTATCTCAGGCATTGAGAAATTAATTATGAGATTAGGTAACTTCCTTCTTTTAAAAGTCCAAATCAAACATTCTTAAAAGTAGTCCATGAACCCAGAGGTGATTGCTGAGGCCCAAAACTATTTTCATAATAATACAAATATGTTACTTTCATTTCTGACTATGTTAATATATACATTGATGGTTCAAAAACAATAGTGGGTGACACTACTGGTAGCTTAATGTAGGCCAAGGAAGTAGTAGCAGCAAGTGCACTAGTACAATGGTCTTATTCTCTATCACATACTTAGAGTAAAAAGCTAGTCTCACTAAAAAATGTCTTTTGTGAAGCCATTAATTAAAACCATTAATTTTATCAAATTTCTACAGGTGAGTACATGCTATTCTAATATTCTATGTGACAAAAGTAGAAAGTACACTTAAAGCATGTCTAATGTGTATAATGGCTGTCTCAGAAAAAACACTTGGCTAATTGAGTTGTGAGTTGAATTTGCACATTTTTAATGGAACACCATTTTTACTTAAAAAAATGATACACAAACTAGAGTTATCAGACTTGGGTATTTGGCAGACATTTTCTCAAATATAAAAAAGATAACTTGTCATTTCAATGAAAATAACTGACAGTATTTGTTGCCAGTGATAAAATTCAAGTTTTCACCCTAAAATTAGAACTTGAGAAAAGTTGTATTTGATTCTGTGAGTTTAACACTTTCTCAAGATAGTACTATAAGCTTTCGGATGACATTGGTGGTGATATCAAATCTTTTGGTATCATACAGAGATGTGTCAATGTTTGAGATATCTACACAACTCAATACATCAAAATTCCCAAGTAACTAATAACGTTAAAATTACAAAATCATTCAAAGTGCAAGATAAGCAAATGGCCTTTAATGTAAAACAGAGTAAAACATTAATTGGTATGTTCAGATCATACATTGCAACTAACCTTTAAGAAACTACCACTTGTTGAGTTTTGGTATAGTATCAAAAAAGAATATCCACAAATATCTGAAAAGGCAAAATACTTTTCTAACATATGTATGTGAAGCTGATTTTTTTATAGACTTCAACCAAAACAATTATTATTGCAAAAGATGGAACGCAGAGCAGATGTAAGAATCCAGCTATCATTGCACGTACTCAATACTAATTTGAACCTTGCAGGTTAACGATAACATGCTCACATGAGACAAAAACTCAGTTAACTCCAAGATGGGAGGAAGCAGCAGGGGGATCTACAAGTTCCTTCCCAGTGGGAACCATTTGTGGGTGTATGACACACTTCCTGGTTAAGGACAAAACTATAAACTTAGACTTTACCTTACAAACGCACACTATACATTCTAATTACATATACCCTCATATTAATTGGAAATTTAAAAAAAGAATTCAGCTAATTTCTATTAAGATAAAAAAAAAAAAAAAAGAATCCAGCTATCTTCCATGAGCCACCATCATTGTCTAAGTTCTCTGCCTTTTGTGGAGACAGGCGATGTTGCTATGTCACTATGTTGCTCAGGCTGATCTCAAACTCCTGGTTTTAAGCGATTCTCCACCTCATAGAGTGTTTGGATTATAGGCGTGAATCAATGCACCAGGCCTCTTCTCACCATGTTCAAGAAGAGCTGATAACTGTGTTTCTCAATCAGTATTTATTTATATAGTGATATAAATTAGCTAAATGATTCTATATTAGAAAAAGATTAAACAAAAAACCTCACAAAAATCTCATTTTGGTAGGTAATTTTTATAGAGTGAAAAATGAAATATTTATATGTAACATTAGACTCTAAATACATGAAAAGACAAGAAACATCCCATTTGTCATTTACATTCCCAAAAAGAATAAGTAAGTCTAAGTAAAATAATATATTGTGTGACTTATATCATACTGTTTCTCTCACATTTAGAAGTAACATATGTAGGAGTCTCTCTGTTAAAGGGCATTTTAATTTCTGGGCTACTCACCCCAGCACAAAGCTTTATATGAGTGAAAAAAAATAAACCCACAAACTGTTTTCAGAAAATTCCTCCATGTAACTCTTAGTATTTTACCTAAAAAAAAGTCTAAGTCCTCATACAGCATGTCTAAATGCTCCTCAAAGCTTATGAGGAGCTTAAATGCTCCACAGAAGCCTGTTTTCATCTTCACTGAACTTGACTTTTAATAATTTTGGAACTGGCTTGCTATGTGGTTAATGTACCAAGCATATACCCTGTGAGATTTGTTTAAATTATTCTTCCCCTGTTTAAGCACTGTGAACCTAAGAGGGGGAAAATGGTAATAAACTGTGTGATTTGTAAAACCACACTTTGACCATCTCCTTATTTTTACAACAGAATTATGACACAAAAGTCAATAAAAGAGAAAATTTTAAAACCAGTAGTAAATACTGTCAAATGCCCTGGATAGATAAGGATAAGGGCAGCAATTACGTCACTATTGGTAGTAGTGAGGGGACAAAAGCAGACTGCAGTGGCCTGAGGAGTACATGACGGATGATAAAGGACAAAGACTGAGAGGGTTTGCTGATATTTTCACCCTGCATTCCCAATTATTCATTCACTCAAAAAATTAAAAGTTGGTAAGAAAGGAAGGTAAAACTAGCTAGCTAAAGAGAAGCTCCAAAAGTCTTAGAAAAGAAAAAAAAGACATATATCAAAAGGAAAGTTGACAACCTCAGCGAGAAGGACTGGCAAAGCCATGTGTGAGTGTTCTGCTAAGTTCTGATACGTTCTTTCTATTCTGAAGGTAGCAATAGAGGCCCTGATGCAAGAAAGTCACACATCTTAGAAAAGGCAAGAAAAGCACACCACGAAGAATGAGCAAAACTTTGATAAAGGGTTCAAGAGAAAAACGGCTTAATAAACAGGGTTTTTAATGTCTTCTTAATGAGGAAGAACTGAAAATTGGTATCAAAACCTCGATGTGTAATAAACTTATTATACACAACCTTATGTAAAAACTAAGCGTAATGTAAATTCAGAAGACATGCTAAATTATTTAGGAATATTATCAAAAAGATCTTAAGGCTCGCCACCTATAGCTCGGCGGCTAGGGTGCCGGCCACGTACACCTACACCAAGGCTGGTGGGTTTGAACCTGGCCCAGGCCTGACAAACAACAATGACAACCACAACAACAATAGAAAAAATAGCCCAGTGTTGCAGCAGGCACCTGTAGTCCCAGCTACTCAGGAGGTTGAGGCAAGAGAATCAGTTAAGCTCAAGAGTTCGCGGTCGCTGTGAACTGTGATGCCACAGCACTCTATGGAGGGTGACATAGTAAAACTCTGTTTCAAAAAAAAGTCTTAAAAGTTTTATGTCTCTGTCAACTGTCTTTTATCCATTTTCTATCAGACCCTTTACTGAACATAAGACATTTTATGAATATATTTATTACACATTTCACAGAGATATTCTTTTTTATTTTAAATCAGGTTAAGTAAGTTTCTTTGTAATTCCAATTTGCTACATAATTTTATATTGGAATGGATATTAAATTTTACCACAGACAGTTATTTTGTACATTTACCCTTCTAACTTTCAAGCAGTTTAAAAGAATGTATTATGTTTTATTCCATTTTTAAGCTTCCAATCTATCTGGCGTAGAGTAGCAATAAGTACTTACTATCTGATTAATAATTATTTATAAACAACACGGTGATCAAATCAGAAGGAATTATATTTTTCTACACCATGTACAGATACAAACACAGTATCCAAAATATCGTGTTAAAATACCACTGAAAGATTGCAAGGGTCAGCTCTGTAAGAGCAAACAGTGGGGATATTTACTAAGAATTTAGGAACTATGTAGAATTTATGTGGAAATTAATAAATTCAATGCCTAGGAATATGAGAAATTAAATACATGAAAAAATATAAATTTCAGCAATAATATTATTGTTAATATAAAAACTGGCTAAATGATTCCCAAGGTCATTAAATGACCTAATGAAAAAGAAAACTCTCCATTTCCTCTACTTTAAGACAATGCTTAAAAAGAATAGAAAATAGAAACAGCAGGCATCATAGGACCAAATAGATAGCATACCATTAATTGAACCAACAGTTCTACTGAAAATAGGTATCAGAACAGCAGGTAAAGTCATACTTCAGCACACCCTGTTACTTGAGATGTATTCTGAGTGACTCTGAGAATATGCTGCTCTTAAGACCACAAAAACAGTATACTTGTGAACCACCATTAGAGTCCATTTGTAGACAATATAGCAAATATTCCCCATGTCAATTATACAAAGATTATATTAAAACTCAAAAGTAGCAGCTAAAACAACTTTGACTTATTGTTCAATATTATTGTTTAACACATTAGTTGAAAGCTTATTTTAATGCATCGTATTATTCTCAAGATAACTTAAATGAGATAATTTCTAAAAAATACACAAAGAAATAGGTCTTTAAAGTAATAATAATAATAAAGCATTTACACATTGAAGAAGCCAGAAATAAATGCTTATGATAAAAAATTAAAGAAAATAAAACTCTTTTTTGTGGATAAACCACAAAAAAAATTCTGCCGGTTCTTCTAAGTTACTTTTATTGTGATAACATTAAGATATAATGATTAAATGTACTGTGGAAAACTTAATTTCCTATAAATTTGTCTTTGATTATATGTTTTTCATAACCTAAAGAACTAGGATATAAGAAACTCTTTTAAAAATTAATTCAACCCTACCTAGAATCCATTTGCCAAACAAGTAATTACTGATTACCCACCAGATGGCCAGAAACTGCTCTAAGAGCTGGGGATATAATAGTGGATGAAATAAAATTTTTGTCTTCAAAAGCAATGTAATAGAGTAACATAAACTATAATCATTTTTCATTATTTTGAACAAAAATTCACAAAACTTAAAATGGGAAACTTTTATAAGATGGTGAAAATTCAGAAATGTTTAAAATTACACTAAGAATTTTTCATTTTTTACATTTAAACTTACCAATGCAAACTGATTGACTTGAATGAAGAGTTTTTCTACCTCCTTTTCAGTCACTTGGGTCCCAAAGCCCTTATACTCTTTGTAGGCTTCAAGGTAAGAACGCAGCCACTGACTCTGCAGTTCTCTATCTGGATAGAGACTATAGTCTACATCACTCACACCTGTAGAGGAAAAATACACTCCAGATTTTAAAACACACACTCTTCAGGATACCTTAATAATCTTCACCATGAACAGTATTTTTTTTAACAAAAAACAAATCGTTCTGTGTTTCAGCTTAAATTCTAAGGCACATCACTACTGATCACCATAATCAATTCTTTTGCTTCAACTTTTCCTCAAAAAACCACCTACATCAGAAATGCCAAATCCGCATTTTAATAAGCACGGAATGAAATTCTTAGGCATACTACCATTTAGAGCATTACCTGAACAGTACCTCTAAAACTTTTTTGACCATGATACAAACAAACACAATTTTTATTAAGATCTTACACATACATCTAACAACTGATATTAAGTTTCACAAAACAATATTCATCCCAGTTATATCTTCTAACTCTGATATATTCTATTTGTATTCTTTTCTCGTCCTTAAGAAAAAGAAATCATACCCCACAAATCTGATTTCATGATCTCCAGTTTGAAAAAGTGTATACTTTGAAAAACCTAGAAAACAAACTTCCTACTCTTTTGCCTAGCATTTAAGGTTCTTCATAAGCTAATCTAAAACTACCCCATCAGTCTCTATAACCTTTTACTCTCCCACTTGTATTTTATATTCTTAAGTAGCTCATCTTGAACTTCCGTTCCCCTTTCCTACAGTAGCCTCCCTTCCTGTCTACTTGCACATCCCAATCCTACCTAACTTTCAAGTTTTAGCTCACCAAGTATCACATTCACAGCAGTGACCATCTACATTACTAACACATCTCATTTATATGCACAGCAGGTTTATCCTCCTCTAGATGAGATATGTAAAAATACGTGTGGGGCTATGGCATGTATTTAGTAAGCTTGGTGGAGAATAACAACTGGAAACATGTAAATTGAAACTTTTCCCCAACTTATTTCCCAGTATCTAAAGTACTCAGAGACAAAAAATCTGAAGTACTTGAGATAAAAATATCTCAACATATAAATTCATACAAACACAAACTTAACAATGAAATATTCCTACTGGGTATAAACTATGCAAGTAAATTTCCTAATCTTTAGTTTTAGAGCATTTCATGTTTCCAAATACACTCTAAAAATGGATTTTAAAGTAACTTAACTTACATTAAAAAACAGTGATCTTTAGACTAAGTGATTATAGACTACTAGGGGTACAAACAACCATTTTTTCAATATTCACAGACAAAGACACACAAAAAAAATTATTGAGCTAAAGTGAACTAATGTCCCAAAAGACTAAGTTTACAATGGAAACAGAAAAAGGCTTTTAAATGATAAAAAATTAGGTTCAAATCTTTAGTGACTTTAGTGAATCACTTTTCTCATCTGCAAACTGGGACTATTACACCTATATGTTGTGGAGAAATAAAAAGAGAGATAAAAATAATTTATGAAGCACTTTGTACTATGTCTTACCTGAACAGAAGCCTCAATCAGTCTTTTCCTCCTATCCAGTGGTTCTCAACCTTCCTAGTGCCACGGCCCTTTAATACAGTTCCTATGGGTCGCGACAGGAGAACCGCTACTCCTATCCATTATTTTTTGATGGCAAATAAGAAAGAAATTTTAATCATTTCCTCTTTTTTCCAGTAATTAACAAAAATAAAGAAAAAGCCAGCAAGAAGAGGGAAAATGCTGCTCCTGCTCTTCTTTAAAGAAAGAAAAAAAATTCTAAAAATATCACTTCAGAGTCAAATAAGTTACTCTATTAGTTAAGCCTTGGGTTTTACCTGCAAATTCATTGAAATGATTTCCAATATCGTATGCCAGGTAGTTGTATCCAGAATATTCATAATCAATGAACTGTACATCACCTATGTTGAGACACAAAAACAAAGACAATAAGAAATCACATACAAGATCAGAAAATCCCTATGCTATTTGTAATTAAATAGCAAATAGTTTGTCTCACTGTACGTGCTTGGTTACATGCACTTCTGAGACAATGCAGGGTAAGGCTGTGAATTTTATGGCAATGAGCTTTACAAAATTGAAATTATTTCTCTTGGTCAACAGCTTCTTTGTGAACTCTAATGTCCAATTTATTAAAGAAAAATGAAAATACAGTCATTCTCCAAATACAAACGAAAGCAAAATACATCTCTTACCACACGGGGGCATCAGTTGCTTACAAATTTAAGTATAATTAGAAATGAAACTATTTTTGTGAAATAGTTAATAATCTATGTAATTTTAATAAAAATTTCATCTACCATGCTCTAACAGTAAACTGACAAGCTTATCTAGATATGGTCATCTATATATCAAGTAAAAACTTTCAGAGACTTGAATTCTATAAATCTTGCAGTTAATACTATAACTACTTACTGATATTACTTAATAATATCACTAATTCACGAAGTTAGCTGCTATCATACTTTTACACTTTTCTTGACTGTTCGCTCCATAATTAGATTTCCATATCTGAATAGAATTAAAGGTGGTAGTTTTATCTTTTAAAAACATCAAAGATGTGGTTTCTTTAAACATTTATAAATTTGAGAAATGTTTACATAAGTAGATTCCTATCCTAAATTACCGCTACATATATATGCATGTCATCATTAATTCTCCAAATACAATCCTGCTCTCCCTATCAAGATGATATACTCCAACTCAAGAACTATTAATTTTTGAGTACTAAGTATTAAAAAGGGTTTGGCTCAACAAAAAATATAGGCCTTAGACAGACAAGAGAAAAAGTGAGAGAAAAAACACAGAAAAAAGACAGATGTTTGAAAAAAAAAAAAATCAGTGTAGGTCATTGTCTACATGAGGGATCATAAACTCAGAGGCTTTCAGGGGCATGGTGTTAAAACAGATAATACAAACTGAGATGGCTGTAAGAATAGTTTCTCAACTGCTTATATTGAAAAAAATGTATAACACCTATATACATTTTTCAGTGTATAGTTACACTGACTTTTAAACATGAAGCTGAGATAACAAAACAAACTCCTGGTCCGTGGACCAGACATTTCCCAAAACACTTTTTGAACTATAATGTGTTGATATAGATTTAAGTTTAATTTGGAGAAGTATATTAATCATATTCATATACGGAGAAAAATTTATATAACAAAAAAGTCACAGCAAATGTATTGTTTCAAATAAAAGCAAAACTTTTAAAATATATAACTGTATTTAATATATTATTCTAAACTTGTATAAAAAGCACTCGTTCAGAGTAAAATAAATGGGAATGACCAAAGTGTCATATCTCAATTATCAAAATGTAACACAATTATTATAATAATGTTGAGCTTTAAATGTTGGTGACAATAAATCACGGCAATTCAACTACCACAAGTATTATATTCTTGAGTTCACAGGACACTATACTACAGTCTTCCAGTTAACCAAATCACTTTATTAAACTGCAGAATTGGAAGTAGAAACATATAATAAGATTTCTTTTCTAAGAATCACTGCAAGTAAGCATGAAGACTTAAGACATCAAGACAAAATACTTGTAGTCATGAAAATAAAATAAAATGAAGCCGTGAAGAAATCTTATTTTCAAAATTAATGACTAGAGGAATTGCAAATGTCCTATGAAAAGCAAATACTAAATAGTAAACACATTGGATCCAAATGGTTAAAATGCTCATTTTACTGTGGCATTTACTATGCCCAAAGTGGTGGGGGAATAAACATATATATTTGCATAGAAAAAAGGATGAATGGAAATAAAGCAAAACAAAATTTTCCACTGATTGTATTGCAGGTGACAGACAAATAACTTTTTTCCTTTTATTTTTCTGGTTTTAAAAATTCTTTACAATAAATATTACTTCTTGGAGGAAAATAAAGATGAATACTCTATACAAAGCTTGTCCATAAGACACTAAAGCACAATGACTTAGCAAATACCTATCCACTAGTCCTCAGAAAATCAGGATACACAAATATTTACCAAGTTGCACAAGTGAGCCAATCTAATCGTTTTACTATATGATTTTTTAATTGCAGCTGTTGATTGCCTTAGCTCTTTAAACACAAATTCTTGTAGAGCTCATATTAACTGTTACATGCCAATGAAAATACACAGCCCAGTCCTGAAGCTTACGTTTGCCACATAAATAAAAGCTTCAATTTCAATTTTTAAAATTATATTTAGAATTTGGCAACTATAGTTAAAATGGCAGGTAAAACATGCCTGCTTGTAAAGTAAATAACAATTAAAGCATAGTTCATTTTAACAAAAGTTAAAATCTGTTTCAGTATGAAAATTTTAGCAATGACTTTTTGTAGTAGCATTAATTCATTACAACTAGCCTTTATTTTTAAATGCTATGTTGAGTTTATAAATAATGAAATTTAAAAAATAAGAAAATGAAGCTAACAAGATACAGATGAGGCTGTTACCAGGCTCCGTGCATGTGAACAAGTGATGCGATAAACCTCCAGTCAGTGCGTTTAAGAAGCACGGGGTGCGCCGCCACATGGCAGCAACAATGGCATACCTAATCTGTAGCAGATGAAGAAAATTTGGCAAACTCACATTGTACAAGACACAAAGCTTAAAAGGAAAAAAATTTAAAAAAAAATCTGCATTAACTATTCTTTTTCAAACTATTGCAAACAAAGTGGAACTCAACCTTAAATTTAATCTTCTGCAACAAAGTAAAATTAAAGAGGCCTATTTCCCTTATTCAGGGTGCCAGAAAAATCAAATTACTGGAAAATGCTTTCCAATCAATAGAAAATATACTACCTTTTTTTTTCCATCAATTTTACTTCTGATTTCTAATACTTCCCATTTTAGAAAAATGTTCAGTATTAATAATTAACTAGCTCATATGGCATACTTGTCTTGTTAAGACACAAATTTTTAATTACAGTTTTAAGGATGGAAAGACAATGAGAATACTCCCTAAAATTTTATGTGTATGTGCACTTTCTAAGGAGGGAATTCCAATCTTCTGGATTCTCAAGGGATTCTTGACCTCTAAAAAGTAAAGAACCAATTACTTTAAGGCGCAGAAATGTCATTTATCTGTATATAATTAGCACAATGATAAACACATATTGGATAAACTATATAATTAATGGATAAGACATTTTATTTTTACTACTATATTTCTTACATATCTTCACCACAGTAATGTAATCTATACACTACTTTTTTTAATTATTCAAATCTCAGTATACTAAAAACAGTCTACCAATTTTAAAAGTACTTTCAATGTAAAAAAAAATAATGATTTATTACCTAAGTCTACATAGTTATTACATGATACCTTTGTCCACATTATTCCTTTATTTTGTTGTTGTTAGTTGAAAGATAAACAGAGAAAGCAAAGTAGTCAATATGAGAACTTGAAAATCTTTCCAACTCATTCCCCTTGTTCTGTAGTGTTAGGTGGGTGGAAAGAGAACAATAAGAAAGGTAACCATAATCCTACTAATGTTAACAAAATATTTTCTCTCTTATACAGAAAAAGTCAGAGGTGTTCTGGTCCGGGAAATTTTGTCTGCATTCCTCACTCTGGTGGGCAGTGGTTATCTGTGTATATCTTCAGCACAGCACTCATCTTTGTAAATTTAAGTATCTGGTTAGGGATCTAACTCTCCCAAGGCTACATGGCTTCCTGGAAGAGCAGTAGGATCCCTTTCATCTTTCATCAAGCAATAATCAGCACACAGAAAGTACTCAAGAGGTAAGGAATAAATGGAGCTTGGGTAAGGAATAAATGGAAATTTTGCAGAGAATGCTGAAACACAGCAACACATTTGCAGAGGGAGAAGGAAACAAAATGAGCATGAAAAACCAAAGAAAAAAGAAGTATGGCATTTCTGACATAAGTATATTGGGGCAGCGCCTATGGCTCAAGGAGTAGGGCACCGGCGCCATATACCTGGGGTAGTGGGTTCAAACCCGGCCCCGGACAAAACTGAAAAATAAATGTTGAACTGTCTTATTTAAGTATATTACTGAACACACAGTGGGCCTGAATGCATGAGATAAAAAACAAGAAACCTAGTAACTATTTTAGGTCATTCTTCCCTAATAGTTCAGGTTTTTAAAGTCCATTTAAGTTTTTCTTAATTGACTTAGGGATATTTTATTTTATGTTAATTACTGGTCCAAGATAAATTAGAACAGAAAAGATTACTTTTCATTTAAAAAACCTCACACTCTATAAAACTAGCACATTGTACCCCACAGATACATTAATGGACACAGCTATTATTTAATAAAAAAATAAATAAAGACAAATTATTGTCTTTACAAAGAATAATTAAAAAACAATAATAATAAAATAAAAAACCTCACTCTGGAAAATACAGATTACCAAAGACAAAAAAAAAATTATGTTTATTTAAATTTTAAAGTAAGACCAGTCTAGAAAAATTTTTCTGAGTTTTTAAAATGCCACTGAAACAACAACTATAATCATGCCTTCTCATAACTATGGAGTTAATAAAATTCAAGTCACTCAAGTGACTAAGAATGGTGGCATTCCCATTTTCTGTTGGTAATGTGTAAGTTTCTAAAACAAAAACATGATTACTTCATAATTTCCAGAGAAAAGCTTTACTTTTCTTTATTTGTATTTCCTTAAAGAACCAAAAAATCAACTTCTTGTATTTTGCTTACAGAGAAAGTAAACAGTGACTGCCATTACTGAAATTTAAAGTTATATACTAGAAATTTCTGTAAGATCTTATGAAGAAACAGAGGGCCGGGAGAAAAACAAAGTAACCACCAAAAGTCATCAGACCAAGAAACATTCTACCAAAGCATCAAGACATGGGACAACAATCTTTCAAAAGCTTTAGCAATTACTTGACATGTCAGTAGTTAAAGAGTTAGTTGAAATTAAAGCATTGGATTTGAAGTTTGTTAGTCAATAATTGATATTACACATTCTACTTAATGTGAAGTCTAGTAATTGAATAATTTAAAAGATGAAGTCTTAATATTCGGAGCAAGAACCACAGCTTTTGGCTTTCATATTATATTTCAAATTCTATTATCATATCATTTAAGTATTCTTTTCTTACCTTTATAGGATGTCATTTCCTGAAGGTTAAGGAATGGCCCGCTGTTTACCAATCACCTAATTCCTGGCACTAACTTTTCAAAAATCTTGACAGCTACCATCAACTTCAGAAAGGAAGCTCACTCTTCTCCCACATTCCTGTGTCCTGTCAACTGACATTGTGAGAGCAAGTAGAGGCAGTATTTCTTCCTGTGATGCCTACCAGTTCCGTAACATTCACATGCGAAAATGCCTACAAGCTGCATGGTGCTGGTAAGTCGTTGTGCGCATGTGCGTATGAATATGCACGCGGGTATGCATACACATCCACATACCCACACAGACATTTTTAATTCTAAATTAATCACAAGTTAACATAAAATAACAACTACAAGTTGCTTTTAAAGACAAACCAAACTGTCATCTCGTACCTATGAGCCCTCACTAGTACACACAGTTAACCTTTCTGACCTATAGGAACCATTTTCATTCTCTCCAAATAATTTTGTAAAATGCATGCCATTAATATAATACAGGGGCTGGCAAACTATGTCTGTTCAGGCCAAATCCAGCCCACCACATGCTTTTGGAAATGAATTTTAATTAAAACACAGCCACACTCATTTATTAATGTATTGTCTATGGCTGGGTTCATGCTACAGAACAGGGTTGAAGAGCTACAACGGAGACTATAGTATGGCCCATAAAGCATAAAAGATGTAACATAGCCCCTTACAGAAAAAGTTTGCCAACCCCTATCTTAGTAAAATAACTACAATTGAGAGCTGCTAATCATTCAGTCCAGTGCTACGTATTTTACATGCAGGATCTAAAATTTTGTCAGCAACCATCTGAAGTAGACATTACCTGTAAGTTACAAAAAAAAAAAAAAAAAAACACTAAAGTTCTAAGCTGATCAAAAGCATAAGAACTCCTCCAGAATCTGTTACATGCACAGATTTCTAAGCAAATCTTCTTCCATTGGTCTTTATGGGGCCTAGAAATCTGCATTTTTTCCAAGTGCCCTAGGTGTTTCTGATGCAAAGTCAAGAATCAAATATAAGGCTGGGTATGGTGATGGTACATGTAATCCTAGCTACTCAGAAAGCTGAGTTGGGAAGATCACTCAAGCCCAGGAGTTCGAGACCAGCCTGGGCAACATAGTGAGACCCCATCTCAATTTTTTAAAAAGGAATCAAATATAAACACTTCTTAAGGGATAAAATGACTTCTCTGACACTACCTACTTCTGTTAAGTGACTGGGTAGGAAAACTTAAATCCAAGTTTACTTGGTTCCAAAATACATATTTTTTCTGACTTCTCTTGGTTATAACTAAACTTTAAAAATACTGGCCTTTAAGAGTTAGAGATTATCTAATTAAAAAATACAAAATCGATGTTATTACAGTTAACTTAGATTTATGTAAAAATGTCAAGATGATCTGGTATAAATTTATGAAGTTTGCTTAGAAGTTGCACACCTGAAAAATTAAAGGTCTTAAATGTACTATTACAGATAGATATTAAGCTTGATGGTATCAAGGCCAGTCCTTTGGCTTTCATATTATATTTATCTATTTGTTTCTCATAAGTACCCACACAATAGTGAAGTCTTGAGCTAAAAGTCACATGGATGACTTAAAAAATGATAAAAAAAAAAAAAAAACAAGCATGTGTGAATATAATATGCGGTTTAGCAATTTATTATATGGGGAAATTATTTCAATTTCAAAAGAACTCAACTTGGCTTTAACATGCTATAACAAGGTAACTTTGCAGTCCATTATCTCTAGTTCTAATTAACCCTTTTAAAATCACTAAAGTAAAATATCAATGATGGGCTACAGTCCAAATATATCATTTTTTTGCATAGTAAATTCACTAAATCTTGCCTACTTTTTGCCTATTAATTTACTAAATTTATATAATGTAGATTTTTAAATATGAGGCATGGCATCTTTGACTTATAACTTAACATTCAAATATGTCAATTATATTACCTCAAAACCATTAGCTCCTAATTTGAAACCTAATACTGAAGACTAAAGTAAGCCATATTTTCTTAATGCCTCAACTAATCACACAGAAATTTTTTTTTAATAAATAACACGGGGTCCAAACTAGCTTTCCTAACAAACATTATAAAGCCATTGATGGGACCAGGGTGGGGGACAGAATATTTCCATATCTAACACACATACATACATAACCACAAAGACAAGAAACAAATGATACAAAACAGACTTCTAAGACAAAAGTCAAACTGTGAAAAAATATACCAAAATAGTTACATCTGTGGAGCTGTAAAATTTGTTTTTCTGTGTAGGAAAGAAAAATTAAACACAGCAGAATGATTCAGGTAATTCTTGGCAAAAACAAATGACAACTTTGACCCCTTGAATTGAAGTACAAAGATTTAATCTCAACTATGGGAACTTTTCATATAACTGGTCAATAGTTTAGAGATAGGCAGTTTAAATAAAAACGTGAAAATGTATTTCTTAATACCTAAAACAAAGTAATCTGATTTTTTTGGTCCCTTATTTTTAGTTTTATAAACAAGTTTATTCTATGAAATGAATATGCAAAAGAAACTTGTAAAAATAAAAGTATGAAGGCTTAAAATTATATTCCAAAGGAAATAATAGATTCTCTTTGATTAACTTGCAGTTAAAAATAAAGCTGAGTGTCCACTTCAAATGTAAGATGAAGTCCCTCACTTGAAATTCCATTATATAAAATGTGTTATTAGGTCTTGCACTGAACTTAAAAGCTAATACATTGCTTTAAGGCATAATAAAGCTCCTGTCTCATAAATGGCATTGAGATTTGGTTACCAGTACATAATGTAGGACACATAGACTATGGCAATTTTATATAATACATGGACAATAATCAATTAAAGGACACTGTCAAGTACTTAAAGTTCTAGGGTATATCTGAAGCTTAAAAAAAAAAAAGAACCCACAGAAAAATTCCAAGATATTTTAAAACAAATAGCTCAGTATATTTTTGAAAACTAAAATCTCTAATCCACTGTAAAATATCAAATGTAAAAATACTCAAACATGGGCAGCGCCTGTGGCTCAGTGAGTAGGGCGCCAGCCCCACATATCGAAGGTGGCGGGTTTGAACCCGGCCCTGGCCAAACTGCAACAAAAAAATAGCCAGACGTTGTGGTGGGCACTTGTAGTCCCAGTTGCTTGGGAGACTGAGGCAAGAGAATCGCCTAAGCCCAACAGTTGGAGTTTGCTGTGAGCTGTGACGCCCCAGCATGCTACCGAGGGCAACAAAGTGAGACTTTATCTCAAAAAAAAAAACAGAAAAAAAACCTCAAACATGGTTTTGAAAATATGTGCTTAAGCCTACCACCCTTGACAGTGTTCCTTTGGTTGGTTTTCTTCAAATTCAGCTATAAATATTAACAACCTTTGTATTATAATAGTCCCAACTTACACTCTAAGAAGGGTCATAACTAATAATTTAATATATTTATGACCTGTTAATGAGAATTATTTGGCTTCAGAATATTCAAACCAGCACACTTATGACTCAAAATCTGGTCTTCCAACTATAATGACTATCTTCAAAAGCTAGTTTCCTATAAAATGCAATGGCTTCATAATTTCAAACATACTTTTTAAATTAATGCTAATCCTTCAACCAAAATTATATTTTTAAATTTCAATTTAATATTGAAAGGCATATATTGTTTAGCAACCAAACCTCAAACCACTTTACCTAATGATATAATACAACCAAGTGTTTCGTAAATATGAATACAGAATTTGAATACAAAGCAAGATATGAACACTCACAAAAACATTCCATTAAAAAACATTACTACAACCCCAAAAATGTTAAAACTATTAACCAAAACTTCTTGATTACTGCTTTAGCAAATATAAATTTGAGCAACTACAAATATTTCCTCCATCTGTGGCTCTCTGCTTAGAATCAGAATACCTAACAAATCAGCATAGTAAACAAGTAATGGGAAACCTGAAGACACATTTATTTCTAATACTGTTGTTTTTCCAACACTGAGAAAATTTCCATATTTATAAAGCAGTGCAAAGTCAATTTGTTGATTTTCAATAACCTCTAATGCAAGCAGGTATACTTTCAAATTATGAATAACCAAATAGGTTTTATAAACATCAACTCACCATTTTATATTTAAAATTACAATAACCACCAACTGTTTCTAAAATACCCATTCAAAAAACATATTTTATACAAATATACAGACTATATATTCCTAACACAGTTATCATGACTTTACAGCCTAAAAGAAAATCTTTAAAAGCTTTATTTCATGTTTTCAATCCTCATATTTGAATTAAATATATTTTTATAGATACAAAGATAAAAGGACCAATAAAAACATAAAAGAAATCAACTTTACTTACTGCTAATGTCAAATACCTACCTTGTTTCTCATTGTAGATTATATTCTTACACAATAGGTCATTATGGCAAAGCACAACAGGTGAGCCCAGGTTAGAAAGAATCTCCTTCATCCAACTCATCTCTTTCTGAAGAATCTGAGGGCTTGGGATATCACTTAGGAACCTTTTAGTTTTAAAAGAAGAGTTAAATTTTGTTTATCTTTCAAGTCTGATTAAGGATCAAAATGTGTTTTGAATAAGTTCTCACTTAATTGTACATACTCCTGAATTAAGACAATAGACCAGTTATTCCAAAAGTTAGGATAAAGAAAATCCATATAGGGCAGTGCCTGTGGCTCAAAGGAGTAGGGCACTGGCCCCATATGCAGGAGGTGGTGGGTTCAAACCCTGCCCCGGCCAAAAACTGCAAAAAAAAAAAAAGAAAGAAAGAAAGAAAGAAAATCCATATAATGAGGTTAAAAATGAATAAAAAGAAAATGAACAACAGTTACAATGCAGGGCAGAAAACAAAAAATGAATCACTACAAAATGTGTGGGGGAGAAGTAATATACATAGCTAACAGACAACATTTAGTAAGTACTATTCTAAATGTTTATATTTATCTGTATTCTATAGATAACAAAATTAAGACAAACTAAGACACAGCCCAGGCATGTTCAGTCTCACCTGTAATCCTAGCACTCTGGGTGGCTGAGGCTAGTGGACTGCCTAAGCTAAGAAGTTCAAGACCAACATGAGCATGAGCAAGAGCAAGACCTCATCTCTACTAAAAATAGAAAAACTATCCAGACATTGTTGTGGGTGTCTGTAGTCCTAGCAACTTGGGAAAATGAAGAAAGAGGATCATTTGAGCCCAAGAGTTTGAGGTTGCTGTGAGCTATGACGCTATTATTTTAAATTCTACCCAGGGTGACAGTGAGACTCTGTCTCAAAAAAAAGAAAAAGAAAATTAAACTATCTATTTTAAGGTTGAAAGTGAATGCAGTATAAATCTTAGCAAAATCAATATTTGGTCTATAGTTGATAAATCAGAAATGTAAGTTGCTAAAAACAACTTCTTAGAAATTGCTTCAGGGTACTAAGACTGCAAGAATGAAAGGCAGCATAGAGCTGGACTGTAAATCATGAATTTATCGCACACTCTTCTATTTATTATGCTATATTTGTATTAATTTTATAAAAATCAAATGAAACAACAGTGGACCACTATCACAAATTCCTCAATACTACTATAAGGCACACAAAGTTGTCATTAATTTACTCTCCCTCCCTCCTTCCCTTAATATTTAATTAAAGTCACATTCTCTTGACTCTTTCTTCAGTCTCTCAAATTACCCCCTACTTTTTCATTCTCCAGTATAATATAGATTCTTTGTACATTACTGAATCTGCCTGTTAGGTTTTTCTAGCTGTACTTTCCCCACTACTGCATTCTTTTTTACATACAATTTCTAAAAGTATATGTTCTTTTCAAAACAGTATGACTGTTTAAAAGAATCTATTTTTTATTTTTTTTTATTTTAATGATAAGGTTTACTTAGTCAAATATGTCCAAAATAGTATTTCTACAAATAATGATAGGAAAACAAAATGAGATTACCTACATTCTCTTTTTTTCATACTAAGTCTTTGAAATCTCATTTGTATTTTACCTTCAAAGCAAGCCCTAAGGGGGTATGTGTGGTTAACAGCTACCACCTTGGGCAGTACAGCTTTAAACACTGACTGACATTTTCTGAAATACAGCAAGGGTCAAACAGTAGATGGCTGCAGGCTGGCGCTGGACATCCCCATGCAGCCTGTGGGTTGTGCAGTGGAGTCCTGCCCCGGCACCCTACACCCTGGCCTCCCACTCGCTTCCCTGTGCTGCTGTCTGCACCTGCACATGAGCAGATGCTTTCAAGCCTTTAGCAAGAAGCCCTTCTTGCCTGGTATCACTGCTCCATAACTCATGAAGTATGGGGACAAGAAGGGTGGAGAGCCCAGAAGCTGAGCCTTGTGTTTATACACGCGGCCAGCTGGCCTTTGAAACATTCCCTGAGTCTTGAAGGCACATGCATGGTACACATGCTTTAGGTTCTTCCCTAATGCTGGGACTGTAAGCACAACTGCCCTCCTTCCTCTTCAGGGATTTCATTAGAGAGGAGGGGTACCTCAGGGCTCTGAGCAGGAGAACCGACAGAAATCTGTTGCTCCCATGCCCTCCGTAGCCGCAGTGGGAAGTCCCACACTGATGACATGGCAAAGCCAATCCAGGAGCAGCTCTGCCCCCTTCCCCATGTTGGGTAGGAAGGGTGGACGGCCACACAGGAGTCCAGCCCCCATCTGCCCCAGGCAGCCTCAGAGGAGGAAGGATGGGCCCAGGTTTGACTTTCAAGCCATCAGCAAGACTGAAGGACACTCTTCAAATTAAGATATAATTAAGAAATATGTATTTTTAGGGTCGGCGCCTGTGGCTCAAAGGAGTAGGACACCAGCCCCATATGCAGGAGGTGGCAGGTTCAAACCCAGCCCCGGCCAAAAAAAAAAAAAAAGTATTCAAGAAAATTTTTTTTAAATTAAGATACAATTTTCATACAGTAAAATTCACTTTTTAGTGTAAAGTTCTCTGAGTTTTGAAAAATGCATACAGTTGTGTAACTACCACCCTCATCAAGGTACAAATCCCTTCTATCACCCCCCAATTTCCCTCCTATCACTTTGTAGGTGATCCTCCCCCAAGTCCCTGGCACCCACTGATTTATTTTTTGAATTGATTTGTTCATCAAATGGAATCACATCCAAAAAAACCACATCATATAGATATAACCTGTGAATCTGGCTTCTTTCATGGAGCACAGAATGTCTGAGACTGTCCCCCGAGATCAGCAGTCCATTTACCCATCATCCATCCATCACTCCATAACCTTTTGGGAGATGTAAGGGTCATTTTCAAGTTGGGGTAATTATGAATAGTGCCATTTGTTTTTGAGACAGATTCTCACTGTGTCACCCTTGGTAGAGTGCCGTTGTGTCGCAGCTCACAGCAACCTCGAACTCTTGGGCTTAAGTGATTCTCTTTGCCTCAGCCTCCCAAGTAGCTGGGACTACAGACACCCACCACAATGCCTGGCTATTTTTGTTGTTGTTTCTGTTGTAGATGTCACTATTGTCTGGCAGGCCCGGCCCAGGTTCAAACTCGCCAGCCTGTATTTGGCCAGCAAGCTAAGCTGAGGTAGCCACTGAGCTACAGGCGCCAAGTCATAGAGCCATTTTTTTAAGAGACAGAGTTTTTCTTTGTTATTCAGGATGAGCTTCCCCCATTAGCCTCCTTAGTCGTTGGAAATGTAAGCACATGTCACCATTCCAGGCTAATTATTTCTAAATTTTGTTGTAGAGACAAGGTCTCACTCTATTGTACAGGCTGGTCTCGAATACTTTTTGCATGAATATAAGTATTTATTTCTTCTGAGTAAATGCCTAGGAGTCGGATTGCTGGGTTGTATGACAAGTTTGTTTAATTTTATAAGGAACTGCACCAACTTTTTGTTAGAGTGGGCTTTCCAATGTCATATTCCTACGTGCAGGTGGATGAGAACTCTAGTTGCTCTCAGCCTCCCTTGCTATTGTTATCATTGTTTATTTTTTCTTCTTATTTTAGCTATTCTCATAGGTGTTAAAAGTTTCACTAAGTTCCTCCTTAGCACTGTGCTAAGTGCTGTGGTACATTATCCCATCAAGTGCTGGGCTTATGATGCCATTTTGCAGATTTGGAAAACTGAGGCCCCGAGGAATCTCTAGATCCCTCAGGACCTGGCCAGCCCATTGTTTGGAAACATGATAATCTAATCCAAAGCAAAGCCTGTTTTTTTTTTAACATACAGTGTTAAATGGAAACCACGGGATTCAAATTAGTATGAACACAAAAATTATAACCAAGTACAAACAAAACAAAATAGAAAAAATATGAAAATAAATGTTTTTAATATCTTAATTGATTATTAATGTCTTAATATTTTAATTGTAACCAAGTACAAACAAAAAAATAGAAAAATATGAAAATACATGTTTTCAATATCTTAATTGTTTTTATGTTCTGGTTGTCTATTTTCTATGCTATTTACCTCCAGCTTTTTCCAAAATCAGTAAACTCAAGGATTTAAAGTATACCTAAGAGAGTCTAGATAATATAACTCAAAACTTTCTTTGAATAATAATAATTTTTAAAATAGCAGCTAATACATTTTCAATACTTACAAGCGACCAGGGACTATTTTAAGACCTTTAAATATACTAACTCAATCTTTGCAAAAACCCTATAAGGCTAATATACTACTCTTGTTATTTTCATTTTATAAATGAGGAAACTAGCTCCAGGTTAAAAATGGGAAATGCTGGTGGCAGAACTACAATTGGATACCAGCCGGTCTGGCTCCAGAGTCTTATGCTCTTAACCAGTGTATATTACACTGCCTCTCTCGACACACATTATCTTAACAAGCTAAGAAAATCTTGCTTCACCATTTTCATCCACTAATTATTTTTAAATCATTTTCCCCAAAATCTTTCAATAAAATGGCTATTTCAAAAGAGAATTCTCTATTCTTATGGTGTAGCGTCATGAATATCCAGCACACTGGACACAATTCCACAAGTTTGCCATACTCATTTCAGGGGTATAACATCCCTATCAACTCAAAGTTTGACAAACCACCTAAATACAAATACATACACAGAGTGAATGACATTAATTTTTGAAATAATCAAACTCAATAGCTATTTTTCCCAATGAATTATTTAAAAAAAAGAAAAAAAATCATATAAATCAGGCTTGCCTCATTTTTCTTAAAACAGACTTCCTAAATACAAAAATTTAGCCTTCACATGCGTTAGATATAAAAGACCAGATAAAATTTCTAAATTTTGCATTAGCAATATTACATAAAAATATGCTCATTAAATTTAGATTCTATATACTAATCTATACATTTTATGTATATAGAAAATAATAAAATATCTTAGTTTAAACTTGTGGTGTCAGTTTTACAAAAGCTAGGTAAGGCTTTGGTAAGCAAATTTTCAGCCTCATTATCTGGGATTTAAATAGTCACAGTCAAGACAACCCAGAAGTTTTCATTCTTTAATATTACTACATATCCCTATACACACCTCAAGACAGCCTGAATAAAATAATTTCTTTAAGTCTCTATGGCCAACTCATAGTATGCAAAAATGTACCCATTTATAGTGATCTTTATATTATAATTATTTCCAAATAAATATCCTATATTTGTTTTTTTCTCCTCTACTTCCACTCTACCCTTGCTGTTGTAGGGGGGTTTTGTTGGGGCTGGGGCACTGATGGAGACAGAAGCAGTTATTTCTGGGAGTCAAAGAATCAATGCTTATTTCACTACAGTGCAGAGAAACCAAACCTGATTTTACACACAAATCCTTTAAACCCAATTATGAAGGAAAGCAATGTAAAACATAATTTCAAAAGAATAATTTTACCTTTTATTGATGTCTTCATCTGCAAATCCTGTGGGAATGAGAGAGAAATATTTTCCCATCTTTAGCCATAGATTAGATTTGGGAATCCAGCCATTGTGTGCATGGATAGCATGAATTTTAGCAAGCTGACGAGCTATTAGCCTGTTTAAACAAAAAAGCATAAAAAGAACAAGTATAAGCTTAATAAAGTTCATGTCTACTAAGATTCTTCATTCAACCAAACTTTAAACAAGCTCCTGAACCTTCTAATAGGCCTTTCTGGGCATTTCCTTGCAAAATCCAGGTTTAGTAAGGGTCTTCTTAGGCCAGTAGCCAGAATGCCCCCACTCTCGATATTTGATCATCCTAGATATTTATTTAATCAAGTTCCTATCTCTCACCATCACCCAAGGATGTCTGACCACTCTGGCCTGTCTTCAACAAGAGTCCTATTAGGTTGATTTGCCCAGAATCCCCCCACCTCTGATGTTTCCTCTTAGTAATTTTCCATCCACCAACCCCGACCTGCTCCTTGGTTATAAATTTCCACTTGCCATGCTGGGTTTGGAATAAAGCCTGATCTCTTTTACCTCACTTCAAAACCCTACTGCCATGGTGCTATACCTATCACAATGGTCCTGAATAAAGTCAGCCCTATAAAGCTTTAACAATTATCACTGAATATCTTTGTCTTTAACAGTTACAGTACTGTGGCTCAGATAGAATTAGAGTCATCACTCAACTCCTGGACCCTAAGTGCGCCCCTTTGAAACTTCTGTCTTCCCTTCTGACTGACTGAATGCCCACTGAAGCCAGCCAGGACTGATTTTGATTCTTAAGATTCTCAGTATACTCTCTGCAACTAGGTTAGAGTCCTAGGCGTCTTTTGAAAGGTACCTCCTAGGCTGGAAGTGCTTTTCCCTGGCTCTCCTCTGTGAGGCCCCTCTGTTCTCTCTATTGGATTCTGCTTCTCCCATGGGAACTTCTCTGTCACCTGAAACCCCTTCTTAAACCCTTGCTGACTATATGCACCAAGAACTCTGTCCATCTTTATTGTTGTCATGGTTTTGCTGAGGAACTTCCAAAAAAATTATAGAGCCTTAGGTACTACCCCCAAAAATTCTGATTTAACTGGTCTGGGTTGCAGCTTTAAAATCTTCTAGACTGGCCGAGCACAGTGGCTTGCACCTGTAATCCCCAGCACTCTAGGAAGCTGAGGTGAGTGCATTGCTTGAGCTCAGGCGGAGCTCAGGAGTTCAAGACCGGGCTAACTTTGAAGCCAGCCAACTCTCTAAAAAATAACTGGGTATTGTGGCAGGCATCTGTAGTCCCAGCTACTTGGGACTGAGGAAAAAGAATCACTTAAACCCAACAGTTTGAGATTGCTATGAGTTATGACGCCACAGCACTCTACTGAAGATGACAAAGTAAGACAGTCTCCAAAAACCACCACTCCCAACAAAAAATTCTAGATGAGTTTAATATGCAAAAAGAAATCTTTTTCTTTTTTTGAGATAAGATCCTACAGGCTCCTACCACAACACCTGGCTATTTTTAGAGATAGGATCTCACTCTGGCTCAGGCTGGTCTCGAACTCATAATCTCAGGTAATCCGCCCGCCTCAGCCTCCCAGAGTGCTAGGATTATAGATGTGAGCCAATATTATAAATTTTAATATTTTGGTTATATATTAGAGTAAGGATGAGACTTATACTATTGATTGAGGATAATTTGAAAATTTATACTGACTTAAAGGAGAAGGCATTTATTGGTACATTCTAAATGCTCAGAATTTTGGGGGCTAGTACCTAATATATATTTTGCATACCTAGCCATTATGCAAAAATATTTGAGAACCATTCAACTAAGGCACACATGGAATCTAGCAAATAGTTATTCTTCACCAACCTATGATTAAAGTTTCATTAAATTTTACATCATCATGAATATTCTTATTTTTATCTATCTAGTTTCTAATAACAAAAGAATCCTGATTTTCCTTTGGAGAAACTCAGTTCATGTGGTTCACACATAGCTAATCTCAATCTTAACTATATATCCCATCTACACCCCTAACTTTAGGAGTAAATGAGCATAAGAACCAGACTTGCCCAGAATATTCCATGTCCAGGCCACGGTGACTGATTCAGGGCATATCCCCTAACCTAAGTCAAAGATACCTGATACTAGGTTCACTGACCCTAACAACCAGGTTTATGGAAGGTAGATAGGTTGAAGCTATTAAGAGGATCATTTCCCCCTAGTGTGTCTGCACTGGTTAGAGAAGCCTGCTAACTATTATTAAGACCGCTCTTAAGGAAAGTGTCAGAAAAAGAAGGTAAGAGAATAAAACAGAATAAAATGTTATTCCTAATGACACTGTTAGAGCCTCTAAATCCACCCATGTTTAAATTCAGTATTCTCAGTTACACGTACCAATAAATGTCTTCTCCTTTAAGTCAGTATAAATTTTCAAATTATCCTCAATCAATAGTATAAGTCTCATCCTTACTCTAATATATCACCAAAATATTAAAATTTATAATCTTTTTATGTTTGTGTACTTTGGTTCATACTTCTCATAAAATGAGTAAACATTTATTTATATAAATGAACTACTGACTGACCTTCCTCAATACCGCATTCTTAAATCTATAAGATACACAAAAAGAGATCTATTTTTATGCCAGTTTCATACATGTACAGAGAGCTAAGCCCAAATGAAATTATAATACTTAAGCCTACATAACTTCATGAAAAAGCCAGATTGTGATTAAAAATCAAAACGAAGAAGAGCCTAAATTCATAAACACATACGTACACATATACTCTTTAAACAAGTAAAAACTGGTTTTAAAACTTGAGGGAAGAGAGGGAAGTAAGAGACTTGAAGAAAAGGCACAGTTTGTGCTATATAAAATTCAAGAGGCAATCTATATCAACAGAATATAATGTCCCAGAAATGTTTTCTGAACAAGTAAGACAGGTGATTCAAGCGCAGGGTCACATATCAGAATAGATATTTAACTCCAATAAATTCTATTCCCTGCTATTTTTTTAAAAAAATGAATAGGAGGGGTACCATGGCTCATACCTGTAATGCTAGCACTTAGAGAGGCTGAAGGGGAAGAATACTTGAGGCCAAAAGTTCAAGACAAGCCTGAGCAATAGCAAGGCCCTGTCTCTACCAAACACGGAAAAGCCCTCGCCCAGTGTGGTGCTGGGCATCTGAAAGTCCCAGCTACTTGGGAGACTGAGACAGAAAGATTCCCTTGAGCTTGGGAGTTTGAGGTTACAGTGAGCTAGTATAACACCACTGCACTCTAGCCTGGGCAATACCATAAGACCTCATCTCAAAAATCCTAAAAAAGAATAATAATGTCATTTTATTAGTTTTATCTCAGGGTTTGTAGAAGACCCTGGTTTGCAAAATACAAAATATAATCTTAGAAGTTGTCCAGTTATTCAGCTGACAGTGAATAATACCCAATTTTACTATGAAAATTCTACAGTAAACACTTCAAAAATGAATAAAAAAGTAGAGCCACAACTAAAAGGGGCATTTACAGATTAACGGAATCTGTTGAACATGAATAGCTAGAGAAAAGGAAGTATCAACTGATTATGAATGTCCTTCCTCTTTTGGCAGAAGGTGGTTAACTGAGGCTGACCCAGGATTTGAAAAAGCACTTTCCACCAAAGAATATCCCCATAACACTGCACAAAATTAGTTAAGATTTACATTCTGATTTTGTCATTGTATCTGCAATGTGAACTTAAGCAAATCATTTAATTTCTCTTAGCTCTCAGGTTCCTTACGAGGAAAAAAATAACTGGCCTATTACATAGTTTTGACATTCTCCTTCAGCTCTAATGTCAAATATAACTGAGTATCAGGAAAAAGCATACATCTACATAAAAAGGTAATCTATTTAAACTTTTAAGTTCAATAACAACAACACAAACTTCATATTCTGATTAACACACAAAGATTCTATAAAATAACTTCCCACTTCATACCAATTTCCTATAAGTTATAATAGATAGATTAAATGCATATAAACCATGGAGTGACAAAGGCAAAATCTTTCAAATGATAGTGATTTTTATCAAAAATGTACCAAACACAACTATTCCTTTGAGGAAATTTTCAAAAATTACACATGGAATTATGAATTATTATGAAATATGGAATTTTATATAACATTTTGACATTTTCTGCATACAGTGATATATGCCTATTCTAATATAAACAAAATGTCTATTAATAATCATCATAATATAGCATAAATAGTATTTGCATATATATATTAAAAAATTTTTAAAAGCTATGCATGGAAGTAGTGGAACATACTTGAATGCCTCAGTTACTTGAAAGGCTAAGACAGGAGAATCCCTTGAGCCCAGGAATTCAAGGCCAGACTAAGCAACAAAGTGAGACCTCGTCTCTTCAAAAACAAAAAAACAACCCCCGCTATTAAAAGTAAAGAGAAGTTTCAGAAATACCTATGGGCAGGGGCGCACAGTGGGTCACACCTATAATCCTAGCACTCTGGGAAGCTGAGGCAGGTGGATTAACTGAGCTCAGGAGTTCAAGACCAGCTTGAGCAAGAGCGAGACCCTGTCTCTACTAAAAATACAAAAACTAGCCAGGCATAGTGGAAGATGCCTATAGTCCCAGCTACTTAGGGAGGCTGAGGCAAGAGGACAGCTTGAGCCCAAGAGTTTGAGGTTGCTGTGAGCTATGAGGCCACAGCACTCTACTAAGGCCAACCAAATGAGATCCTGTCTCAAAAAAAAAAGTTTTAAAAAAAGATTCTACAGAAAATGTAACTTTCATCTCCGAGAAACAAAACTTTGTTGATCTGACAGTAAAGATGTGGCATTCCTTAATTCTTCTGCATTCTATAATGAATAACTCTTTACAAATGAAGTATCTGAATTACACTCAGCCGGAAACAGTAGCAGGCGCCTGTAGTCCCAGCTATTTGAGAGGCTGAGTCAGGAGGATTGCTTCGACTGACAAGTCTAGCCTGGGTAACATAGTAAGATTCTATCTTTAAAAGAATTAAAAGCTAGTGTCTAAAACAGATGTCCTCAAACTACGGCCCGTCTAGGACATTTATCTGGCCCGCTGGGTGTTTTTGCTACCGTTGCCTGTCCTACTTAGCAGGCGACTTGTCCCAGGGCCCGCAGTCTGGCCCTCCAACGGTCTGAGGGACTGGCCCCCTATCAAGTTTGAGGACCCCTGGTCTAAAATATTCTATAAGTGAATTACAGATATAAGATAAATCAAATAACATCATGTTTTTATAACAGGTAAAATACATTCACAGTATTATTTAAAGTGCTAGGTGGCATTTTCCTAAATAATTCAAAATAGAATTGAAGCAATAATAATAGTAATGGTTGAGAATGCTGTATCACTATGATTGATAAATACTATCACTAAGTTATCCTTCAGGGGGCAAAGACCATGCCTTATTCTTTCATCTATTCTAGCACTCAGAACTTAGAGGAGGTACTTAACTAGATTATTTGATAAATTAGAGTTATCTTACCAACAGATTCAGAATATGTGTAGAAATTTACCATAAGATTGTTAAGATTCTTACCATAAGATTTTTCTACTATTTGATTTATAGTTAGGCAGATTAAAATCTACTTTGCATTTTTGTAAATCTTGTGTAATAAGAATTTTTAACAAAATTAGTATCTTCCTATAAAACCAAAATGAGAATCCTTTAGAAATACTGTCTATTCTTTCGTAAGAAAGTCAGAACTTGTTTAAACCATTTCTCAAAGTTTAGAATTCAAGCCGATTTCTACAGACCTCAGAACTACTGATCTCTCATATCTTTTATATAGCAAAATTAACACATAAAGTGTGTTCGGAACTTGAGGCTAATTACTTGGGCAGCTTTCTGTCACCATGCTTATCAAAGCACAGGTGCACTGCAGCCTCCAAGGCCTGGATCTTGGCAGCACTGTTCCAGTACAACCATTTCATCTAGCTTGATGAAGCTTGCCAGGCATCTAGGGCAAGGGCCCCCTGACCAGTGGGTATTGCAGTATAGGTGGTGGTCGGCATTCATGTAGTCATCCAAGAGCTTCATGTTCAATTGCTGTTGCTACTTCTACCACTACCGTCATTGCTCTACTAAGTGCCTCAGCAAAATATGAGAGGAAATCCTTTGACTTCCAGGTTGCTCAGCTCACATTCTACCTCCCCATCTGATTCAGTTTCTATCTTCTCTTCAGACAAAGGGGTCTAGTCTTCTCTAGCAGATGGCTGGACCATATTGTTACCATGTAGATGCTGCACATACCTTCTGTAATGTGAATAACTTCAGTGTGAGACCTAGAATACCATGCAATAGTCAATGAAGAACTCCTTATCATAACCGCTTTGGGGAAGAAGTGTAGGAGGTAAGGACCATAGGGTACTGAAAAAGGATTCCAAGGCCTTCCTGCAGGTGTCTTGGTGGCTTCACATCCAAGCCACTGCTTGATGATAACATTGCCAGTATCTTGCAAATACTAGATGAGAATACCAAGACTTGATAACTTTTGATGTTGACGCCTTTACTGCCATCTCTCACCATGAAAGTCCAAATGGGCAAAAAAACTGGTGGTATGCAGCTTGCAAATCTTGGTCACTAGGTAAGCAGGGACCACTTTTTGGTGATAAAGCAGAGGTGCATGGAGGAAAGGCCTGTGGATACTGATTTTTTTTTCTTTTTGAGTTAGCTTTCACTCTTATCATCAGGCTAGAACACAATGGCATGATCACAGATCACTGCAGCCTCCAATTCCTGGGCTTAAGCAACACTCCTGCTGCAGCCTTCTGAGTAGCTGGGACTACAGGGGTGCGCCACCATGCTCAGCTGATTTTTCTAATTTTTGTAGAAATGGGATCTCACTCTTGGTCAGGCTAGTCTCAAACTCCTGCCCTCAAAGTGCTAAGGTTACAGGTGTGAGTACTTGGCTTTAGATACTGACTCATAAAACTAGTATTTTTTCCTCTGCTTTAGTTGCAAGGAAACCTATGTGACCCCTTCTCTGACATCCTTATGGAATATACTTTTGTTTCTGAATTCAAAGCTTTTTCTGTGGTCTAATCTATAAATCTATTCATTTTTAATCCTGTTATATAGGTATTTCTCAACTACTATAAATGAGACTGAAGATTTATAAATAAATATATGCAACCCTAAAGACCACAAAATATCGGACACAGAAGAGTAAACAAATTTATTAATCAGGGCCCTTGAACACATCTAAAGAGTACACTCATGTAAAAGAATGCTAAATATTAGTATTCTTTGCTAAAGAATACTAATAACTAATATTGCTAAATATTAATATTTGAACAGATTTCTGTACCAATATATAGAATATAGGTAAGTAATAAATACCAGCACGTTCCATTTTTATCAATGTGTTTACTTAGCAATTATAAACATATGATCCAAAGATCTAAGAACTCCTAAAGTCACAAAAACCTTGCAGGAGGTTTATAAAGTTAAAACTATTTTCACAAGCTATTATTTACCTTTCTCACTCTTTCTCATGAATGTATAGTGTAGTTATCAAGAGGCTGCATGATATATAATAATGTCACACTGATAGCTAATAGGATGTGTACTTGATATTCTTGTGCTCTAAAAAATTGGTTTTACTTTCTAGTATGGTATGTTATCGATAAACACAAATCAAATACTAAAGTAAAAGCTCTTTGTGTGCTCAATAACTGCAAGGAGTTGTAAAAAGATCCTGACACCAAAATAGTTCAGAGCTGCTGGTTGAACCTACGAATTAACCTGTTTTCAAATCGCAAGCCTATTTTCTAGAGTTTTCAAGAACAGAAAGAGAATTTTAAAAGTTGGCAATAGTCAAGCATATATAAGACATTATTCTTTATAAAAGATATAATACATTGAATTAAATAATGAACAACTTAAAAAACAAAGAAGGGTTAACAGCACTAATAAAATCCTAATAAGCAAGAACTCTAAAAACATAAATAATTAAGTAATAAGCAATTGGCAATAAGAAATGTACAACAATTCAAACATTACTTTAAAAAACTGAAGGGAAGCCATGATATTTCTGTAGCACATTAATCCAAAGCCCCTTATCGTCTTTACTTCTTCTGTAAACAATCAACAATGAGAACTACAGATATAAACAAATATCTTTCTTTTTCTTTAGGAAACGAAAACAAAAAACCCTAACCAAATAAAGTGTCTTAAGTTAACCAAATAGTTGCTCAAAGAAAGAAAAGGCAATTTTAAAAGATAATTTCCTTAACCCTATTTTTCAAAAGGAAAACAATTTATTTTTAAAAGTACCTGAAGATGGCCGGGTTGCAGACATGCTGTGGATCCAATGCTTCTCCTTGTATAAACTCATAGCACAGTCCATTATTGAAGGTACAGTACAGTTGTGGTGCACAGCCATGAGCCTGCAACACTCGAAAACTCTTTACTTCCTCATCTCGATCAACTAACAACTCGGTCTTATTGCCATAAATTCTCACCAGGACTACATCCTCCATGGTATCACCCACATAACAGCCAATAAGTTTATTTGTGATTCCATCTGTGAAGAGCTGCCAGAAGGAAAAAAATAATGAATAGGTAAAAGCAATTACATATTTTTAAGGACTAGGAGATAACTTGAAGCTAATGAATTAAATATTAATTAAAAGAAAAATACGTACTTCTTAATATAAAAGAAACTGTGGATACAATTTTGTCTAACGTGTCTAAAATTTTAATTCTAGATTTAAACAAAAAGGAATGCTAATGTTTAGCATATGTTGCCCTTAATTCTTGTAATATCACTGTCGTCATTATTTCTATGTAATTTTTTTGGTACTGTTATATCGCACAGTCTGCCTTGTACTGTATCATTGCATATGCGCAGGTGTGTGTGTGTGTGTGTGGTGTGTTCACACAGATAATCTCTCCTATGTCTAAAACACTGGAAAGTCTCTGAAGGTAGGAACATTGCCCTCTTCTCAGTGTGGTACGTTACATACAAAATTCCTTACTAATGTTCACAAGTTTTTAAATATACAAATATAATCTACCATAAATTACATTACAATAAATCTCCAACTTACAAAAACTGAATTTTAAATATTAACTGTAAAGATTACTTAAAATTCACTTAACACTGTTAAGCACTCAAGTTATAATATTTTTAACTTGAATGCTATGGCTAAAAAAAGAAATGTAACCTTAATTAGAGGAAGATAAAGAGGTAAGTAAATAATTCTATGGTATTTTCTAAACGGGGCTTTTGAAGAGTGTTAAGTACTTCAAAATGTTTCTTTTATCTCAGTTCAAGGTATATTTAAAAACAGACACTTCATTAACAATACTAGTTCTCCAGGCTATTCAAAAAGTGTAACTTACATTTTCCTCTATACCAGCGGTTCTCAACCTTCCTAATGTCGTGACCCTTTAATACAATTCCTCATGTTGTGGTGACCATCAATCATAAAATTATTTTTGTTGCTACTTCATAACTATAATTTTGCTACTGTTGTGAATCATAATGTAAATATCTGATAGGCAGGGGATCCCCAAAGGGGTCGCAACCCACAGGTTGAGAACTGCTGCTCTATACTAATTTGATAGTAGAATTAACTCTTCTATTCACCCAGTTATAATTTAGAGCTTTTAGAGGCTCTTAAGTGGATAAAGGAAGAAAAGAAAAAGTGAAACCAAGACTGAAGGACTTGGTTACATTTATTACAATACCATAGCAACTCAAAAATAATATTCTAAATAATATTCTAAATTTTTTTCTAAGACAACTGGGTAAGAACAGGAAAAAAGGCCAGTAAGAAGATGAATTGTAAAACAATGTATGTATATTTAACAAATGCCTAAAAAATAAACATTTCTATTTTAATTGGATTGCTGTGACAATAAATCATACATGAAAAGTTGATATTCAGATGAGAATTTGAAATGAAGTATTTACTAAAATGAATATATATATAACAAGTATTTATATAATGGTTTGTATCATACACAGTGCTTATCCTATTACCAATTCAGCTAACACAGGTAAAACTATATGAGCTAATGCAAAGAAACTTATTTTGAGTATACATGTCTATAAATATGGATAGGGAGAGAAGTACTGCTTTCCACCTAGATTTTAAAAAAAGTATATATGAAAGAAATTGCCAAGAAGTATATACACTTAAATTGAATGCTAATCACTTTATTGAAATCTATGTAAAAAAGCATGTTATTTAAAACCAATGAAGCAAATGGGGATTCTAGATAATGCATACATGAATACTAATTTCATTCTCTGTATTTTGAGCATGTTAGAACATGTGTATGTGTGTATGTGTGTATATATATGTTTTGTTTTGTTTATCCCAAGACGGGTTCTTCCTCTTGCCCACCCTGCAGTGCTATGACATGATCACAGCTCATGATCTGGTACTGCAGCTTTGAACTCCTCCTGGGCTGAAGAGAGCCCCCTGCCTCAGCCTCCTGAGTAGCTGGAACTGCAGGCAAGTACCACCATGATTGGCTAATTTTTCTTATTTTTTAGAGACAAGGTCTCAATATATTGCCAGGCTGGCCTCAAGTTATCCTCCCACCTCACCCTCCTGAGTCACTGGAGTTACAAGTATGATTCACTATGCCCAAAAGAAAATTATATTTTTTAACTTCATGATGTAACTAATTAAAGCATCAGTAAATGACTCACTGATCTATATAATACAGCACACATATATAAGATTCATTTGTGAATGACTTCCAAAACAAATCAATGATAAAACTTAAAGACAGATTTTAAAAGGAGGTGGGTAAGTTAAAAAGTCCAAGTGAAGACTAAAAAAGATTATGCTGCCACCTATCCCATCTATGATAAAGGCCACTTCTTCCTCCTTCCTTTCTCAGCTGAATTTGTAGAAAAGGAATTTTGTATTTCCATTTCCAAAGCTAACATCTACTCTTTTCTTTTAATAATTTTTATTTTTATTATGCAATACTTGTAGCACATAGTTTTAAAAGTTAACTACAGAGTGTCCCAAAGGTGACACAAAATTACCCAAATATAGGGAAACGGGGAAACTGTACCTAAAAGCACCTTTATTTACAAAATATTGATTACAAAATTTTACAAAGAGGTAGCCAACACACAGAGAATATTCTGTAAATATTTTATAAAATTTTGTAGTGAATATTTAGTAAACAAAGGTACATTTAGGTATAATTTCCCAGTTTCCATATCTATGGTGACCTTAGAGTCATCCTGCAGCATTAAACCTTTGTAAATAAGTAACAGTAGCTCCCCCTAATAATCTACTTTTCAACTCTCCTGCTATATAATTCCTTATTTTTTAATATTCTTAACCTGCTTTTTTATAAAGTCTGCACATTATTTAAGGGTTTCTTATAACACTAGGCTTTCCTATATCATCTCCTGCTACACACATGTACATAAAGTTATTCGTACTGTTACATTTTTTGTTTTTATCAGTTTTCAATTCTACATTATGTAATTGATGTGTGTCCTGTAAATTTCCTCTCCTGGATGGCTTTTTTCTCTTTAATAAATCTTATTTTCTCACTTACTACTTTATATCTATTTGTACTCCCTATATTGGACTGTAAAGCCATGAAGGAGTGGGAATAGGAATTCAGCAAGCAAAGCTCTGCCATCTCCCCAACACACGCAAACACACATGCACACACACTATACTACCTTCATCTCACTCTCACCCATTTACATTTTAGTTACTGACACAAGATTTTATTTCGACAAAGGGTTCTAGCTCTAGAGAAAATGTTGAAAATCACTGATCTACATCATCTGTTGTACCACTTTCATTCCTGGTCAAGGGGAATTAACAAGAACAAGATTTACCTTCCTAATTAAAACAACTCCCCTGTCCCCCAGAAATCCCAAGTGAAATAACAATTTCAAGACACTGGATTTTAGACAACAGAAAACAGCAATTCTAAGAGATGGGAAACAAACAAAAGTAAGCTCTACAACTGTTCCAGCTTAATGTCTTGAAAGAATCCTCAAGCCCTAGCACAGGGAAGGAGAGCTCGGATAGAGCTGCGTGGACTTTCTGAACTGAAATAAATTGAGAATCAAAGGACATCAAGACAGAGTATGCAAGACAGAGTACTGAAAGAGAAAGAGAGGCAAAGAGAGAACTCTACAGCTATGCAAATGGTCCACTGGGTATTCAAAAGGGTACTGACACATGTATATGCGGAAACTACCTGTGAGGAAATTATTTAAATGTGAAGGGAAAAATAATCCAAAAGGATTAAAAACAAAACCATCAATGAAACAGAAAAACCCAGCAGTCAAAAACTGTTCTTTGAAGAGATGAATAAAGTTGATAACTTCTAAGCAAAACTCTTCAACACAGTAAGACAACACAAATTATGGATGAAGTTTATATGTACTTCACTACAGATCCTAGACATGTATTATTAAAAACTCTTCCCAATATAGAAAAAGAAACTCCCAACTTGATACCAAAACTTGTCAAGGTCATTACGAGAAAGGAAAATTATAGGCCAGTTCTCCCTCATGAACACAGTTGCAAAAATCTTAATCAAAATATAAGCAACTGATACAATGATATATATATAAAGGAGAACATACCACAACCAAATAGAGTTTACTCTAGGAATGCAAAAGTTATTTAACATTCAATTTTTTAAAAAAAATCAAAATAGTTCACCTACTAACAGAAAATAAAAGTCCTGTGATCATCATGAGATGCAGAAAAACACCAATAAAATTTAACACTCATTCATGATAAAAATGCTTACAAAAACTAAGAATAAAAAGAAACTTCCTTCCTTAATCTGACAGAGTAACCAAAGAATACTTAGAAAAAAACAGCATACCTAACAACAGCAAATATCATACGTACCAATAAATGATTATCAATGTTCTCCCTAACACTGGGAACTAAATATGGATGCCCACTGTCACCTTTCACCTTTTATTTCAATAGTGTGCTACTTCACACCATGTTAAAATACAGTTGGCCCTCCATCTCTCCAGGTTCTGTGTTTTGCAGACTCAACCTGTCTCAGATAGAAAATACTCAGAAAAAAATCAAACAACAAAAAGAAACAATTTAACAATAAAAAAACTAATTTTAAAATACAGTATAACAACCATTAACATTGTTAATAGCATTTACATGTAAATAGTATTTACATTGTATTAGGTATTATAAGTAAGGCAAATACTACCCCATTTTATTTCAGGGACTAACATCTTCAGATTTGCTGTCAGTGGGGGTCCTGAAACCAATCTGAGGATATCAAGAGGCTATATTTTACTAATGGCATATATTACTTGTACTTTTAAAACAAAATTAACAGATTTAGTTAGAATACGAGCCTTTCTGATTTTCTTCTTTATTCTCCTTAAAATTTAAAACCTGATGTTATTATAAAATAAATAATTAAATTGCATGTTTAATATGATCATAAACTAGTACATTTGTATATTTGGAGCCATCAAAAATTATAGTTAATACCATATGAGCATGGGAAAATGGGAAAATGTTTACAAAGGGCTGGAGGGAAAAGA